GGTGCAACTTGAGAGATGGGATAGTTTTTTGCCCATGAGTGACCCACAATTTTCTCTTGTGAATTTAAGGATTTTTAATATGACATGACAAAGAGTCGTCTAAAAATCCAGAACAACGTCTGACTGGAAAGCTAGTAAGTATTACACAACCTACAATCACAAAGTGTTTCTAAGCGTAAAACTGGCAAATGGCTGGACCAACTTGGTATTTTTTTGTCAAATACTCGTTAGAATTTCGAATTGCACGTAAAAACATGAAGACCACATACAGTGTTATTTTGCAATAACCAGCCAAATTTGCAGAGAAGGGACAGAAAAATAATGTCAAACGTTCTGTCCTTTGTATCTTTTAAATTCAAAATGCGTGATATGATGCGTTTTAACTGATTTTACGGCGCACGCACACATTCATAAGGGTCGATCGGTAGGCAAAAACGTTGTTGACTAATAAATCACATTCAATTTGGAATAATTTCAAATAAAAGTAGAAGACACTTATTTGCTCGTATTTTCAAAAACTGCAATAACATTATTTATATATTTGAACTTAAGTTTCAAAGTTAATTACTCTATGAAAAATAACCCTGTATATAATGTTCCATATAGTAAAGTAACACTAGTTAGCGCCATGTGGTTGACAGCTTAAGATAATTCATCATTCTATTTGTTCCCTGTGTGCAGTAAGAGACGACTATTGAACATGCCAATAATAAACCATAAGCTTCTGAAAAAGGGCGATAAGTTGCGATAAATGGCATATAACCATCTCGTTTACGAATCCTTTTAACAGACATCTAAAATGGAGCAAAAATTTAATTTAATATAAATAAATTTTGGGGCCATGGTAGCTCAGATGGTTAGCGCTCACTGTAAACTTTACAGTAAGCAAGCAAACCGGGTTCGATCCCCGCCGGCACCAATGAAATTGTTAATTGTAATTTTAAGTGCTGATTTACCACGTGCTTGGCGTTGAAGGAAAGCATCGTGAGGAAACCTGCATATCTGAGAAATATTTCGAAGACATGTGAAGTTCACCAACACGCATTTAGGCGGCGCGGCGGACAATTCCTTGCCCTAAAACCCAAAGCCTGTGCCCAGGAGTGGGACGTATATAGGCTGTAATTTTAACTTTTAAAATTTTTTTGCCAATAGTTTGTGTTTTTACCTTAGCATTGGCCGTGAGTAAGAGTTTGTCATAAACCGCGCTTTACCGATGCGCGTGTCAGTTAGAATTAGAAGGTCATAAAACCACATACAATCCAAAAAACATGTATGTAAATTTATTTTAATATCTTTATAATCAAATTTTCTGAAGTACAGTTATTTCTATATGTTTGAATACTGATTCTGATAACATATTTAACGGGAATCATAGTGTTTATGTTACCTGTTTGCTACGTGATATCTTCGTCGATTAAGAACCGATGTATATGATGTATGGTAATGATTCTTTTGAATAAATTATATAAAATATATCTAAATATCGTTAGTCATCTAACTTAAATTCGAAGAATAGTTTCACCCTCAAGGGTTAAAAATATGGAACGAGTTTCTAAATCTAAACAAATAAATAGATTTATTATTAGAACAAAAAATATTGTATAAATTTCTCGTCTGTTTGTTCCGGCTAATCTTCGAAACGCCTAGATTGATTTTGACGGGAATTTCACTGACATATAGCTGATGTTATAATGAGTAACTTATACTAGTTTTATTTTAAAAAAGGAATTGATATATTTAATTAAAATATTTAATTTATTTATTTATATAAATAACATGTTATGATTTCTTAAATTTACGCGAACACTACACATTGAATAAAACTAAATTTACGGATTTTATCGCGTTTATTTCACTACTTTTACTTATTTTTAATTCCCGACGTTTCGGGTGCTTTACAGCAACCATGGTCACGGGGGGGGGGGACTGAGATGTTTGACGTCCCAATGTCATAGTTAGTCCGGCTACCTTCAGTTTTTGAATATTAATTTTTGGTCCGATTTACGCAAAACGAGCTTATAGTATCATGAAGTCTTGCAGTGGTATGCTTAGGTTTGGGTTTAATTTTGTTAATTATAGGATCCCAAGCAGGTGGCAGCACCCATCCATCTTCTCTATTGAAATTTGGATGTTTTTTTAATTTCAATAGCCTCGCGTATCATCCTTGGTAGGAATCGGTGTTCTTTTGCGAGAATTTGTGGTTTATCAAAACGAATGTAATGGTGGGGACGATCTTGAACATGTTCGCAGAAGAAGAAGTCTGCAGTCTGCGAACATGTTCAAGATCGTCCCCACCATTACATTCGTTTTGATAAACCACAAATTCTCGCAAAAGAACACCGATTCCTACCAAGGATGATACGCGAGGCTATTGAAATTAAAAAAACATTAAATTCGTGCTTGATTTCTTATTTTCTAATCTGTATCCTAAGTAATATCTAAGTAATTCCAACGGCCGTGTCATAAGCGTGTAGGGGCGGTGTGGGATTACCCACTACCCAATTTGTTCCGTGGGTGCCGTGAGATAAAGAAGCTGAAACGTGAGACGGGCAGCAGTATCTTCCTGAAAACAACTCAAAATTTTATTTTTTATTTTAAAGAAAGAATTAAGGTTGTACGCAAAAAATAAACAGGATAGTATAATAATGAAATATGTACATACTAAAACTATTATATTTAAAAAAAAAAACTAAAAATATATAAATAATTTCTAGTTTCCGAATTCGGCGCTTTGTATTAGCTCTGGCTACAGATACTATTGAATTAAATGGAAATAAATTTGCTCTCTAAAACTCTTTAAGTCCGTTTCTACCACATATCGTGCCGAGGGTTTCCTAAGAGGCGACAGAGGGAAAATTAATCAGAAGATAAGCAGCAGCTTATTCCTGATAACACTTCAAAATAATAAAAGACTGCTTTGCCAACTCGTTTGTCAAGTGTGACAATAATGGCAAAGTCCCCCCATGAAGTAGTCCTACCCCAGTCGAGCAGAGCCATTCGTGCTAAAACCATAATATAGCTGTAGCGTGGCTCTACCACGTATATAGTTATGATTACGCTCTTTTTTATAGGATAAGTGTGACAAACGAGCGCAGAGTCCACTTGCTGGTAAGTGAACTCTGCTTGTTTGTGTGACTTGAAGTGAAGTGCTGTGGCCCATAGACATCTACATTTATCCTCGATTAAGAATTAATACGCAGATGCATCGTCATTGTTGAGGACTAAGATGGAATGCCTCGTTTCCAGTAAAAAGAGTGTCCGGATCTCTACACTGATCATACGAAACACAGCAGTATTAAACTGCTATTTTACGCTGTTATTCTGTGAGAGCGTGTTCCTTCCCCAATCGAGCCAACCCATTTGTGTTACAACCATGATGTAGCGGCATCGTGGCTGTACCACGTATAAAGCTGATATGGTTTGTAGCAAATCAAACGCAATGTAGAGGCGGCACTTCTATCGGTAGCTGTGGTAAGAAATGACAATGAAAAATTACGAAAGATTATTAAAGAAAAAAACTTGTCCCATCTCTCAAGTTCTTGTTGCCAGTGATGACTTACGGATCAGAGACGTGGTCCTTCACCGGTGGCCGTATGAGGACGCTCAAGGTCGCTCAGCGAGCTATGGAGAGGGCTATGCTCGGAGTTTCTCCGCGTGATAGACTCAGAAATGAGGATATCCGCAGTAGAACCAGAGTGACCGACATAGCCGAACGGATTAGTAAGCTGAAGTGGCAATGGGCCGGCGGGCAAAGAACCGATAACCGATGGGGAAGAAAGGTTCTCGAGTGGCAGCCTCGTACTGGTAGGCGTAGTGTAGGGCGACCCCCACTAGATGGAGTGACGACCTGGTAAGAACATGCAGGAAGTCGATGGATGCAGGTGGCTCAGGACCGTGCTTTGTGGCGTTACGTGGGGGAGGTCTATGTTCAGCAGTGGACTTGTGATGGGCTGTAATGATGATGATGATGATGATTAAAGAAAAAAATTATGAAACATCATGGTCACTAATATATGTTCGCCAATAGGCGACTTAATCATCAGCTAGTAAATTGCTCAGTGTATAACACTTAAAATACAGGCTGTGGGTTTGCGGCGCCTGGAACAACAATTTTTATGCGCTACGTTTCATTGCTTCAGATTATAGATGTCTGTGAGTAATTAATATATGTAAAATATATCCACGGTGTGACCGAATAGTGACCATGTAGTGGCCGTATAAGAATGTCCACTACCCCATATGATCCCACGGCTGTCGTAAGGTGCGACAGAGGAAAATTAAACTAGAAGTTTGGAAGCGGCATCTTTGCGATAATAAGTCAAAATATAAAAAAATGCGGTTGCTAGCCCGCGTGTCAAACGTGGCAATTATGGCAAACTCCTCCCTACGAGGCAATCTTTGGGAGTGGCTTATGTTCAGCAGTGGACTTTTATAAACTGTTAAGGATGATCCACGGTATAGCAGTAATATAAATAACATAATGATTTATTATTATAAGGCAAACATTAAACATTGAACTTTTTTCACAGTGATGGTCTGAAACACAGGTATTTAAACTAGTTCAGGCAGATAGCTAATACTATGAACTTAATTTTTCATTTTTCTTTTATAGATTCTAAATTATTAAGCTACAATTAGTACTATTTTTTGTTAGACTTATTGTTACTGTGTTTAATTGTAATCATATTGGTTCCTGTGTAAGTTGTTCCTGTACAAGTGTAATTGGGAATGAAATATAATTGGAAATACATTTAAATTATGTATTTATTATTATATATTTCACGTTTTGGCGGCATAGGGTGATTGACGTTTTTGGCGATGCCCAAATACTCACACGCTGCTCGATTTTAAAATGCCGTTAAGTATCGTGCTGTCTCTATCACTTTAAGTCAATGTGATTGTGACTTAACGACATCTTAAAATTGAGTAGCGTTTGAGTATTTGCGCTTGTGACTTCTTTAAAATACCGTAAATGTAATTATATAAATTACAATTTTCAGGTGGAGATCCAAATGATTGACCCCGACAGGTTGACATTCGAGCACCACTGTGGTGGCGCCGTTATCGCAGAGAGAATAGTACTGTCTGCTGCTCATTGTTTTGATAAGGTAAGTAACGTTTTCTATCGATACTTTTATTGAGATCGAATGGGTCGATCGAAAAGTTGGTACATAAAAAATATTCTTATTTCATTAGCAATATAATCTCATCAAGTAATAGTAGCGGCTGTTTCTTATAAAGCTCAAAATAGCCTGTTCCAGGAGACGCTGCTATTTCTTCACTTTAATAAGTTATAAATAACATTTGGTTAAAGTTAGAAATAAAAATATCATAAATTCGCGATTTGTTATATTCTAATCTGGAGGCCTGAATGACGATCCTAAGTAATTTCAACGTCCGTGTCATAAGCGTGTAGTGGCGATGTAAGAATATTCACTACTCCATTATACTATTATGTATTATATTATTATATATTATAGTTTATTACTATTATAGATATTATTATTATACTATTTTTTAGTGGATGCCGTACAAAGCTACAGAGTAAAAATGAAACAGGGCATGGGCAGTAGCATCTTCCTAAACCCAAATCTAAATTTTATAAAATGCGATTGCGGACCTGCCTGCCGATTGTAACATCTATTACAAAATCCCCCCTATGGGGCAATCTATGAAAGAGACTTATGTTAGACTAGTTTATGGGAATGAATTTCTTTAACTCATCATACATAGAAGGTGAGTTTTTGAGTGCAGAAATCGCGGACTGTGAAACTTGGGACCAATGTTATTGATGATGTGCTTTATCCCTCGATTGAAAAATGGTTCATCAGCATAATTAAAACATATCAAAAATTTACTAAGAGTGGTAGGTCAGATGGTTAGCACTCGCTGTAAATTTCACAGTACGCAAGCAACCTGGGTTCGATCATCGCCGGCACCAATGAAATTGTTAATTCCAATTTTAAGTGCTGATTTACCACGTGCTCGGCGGTGAAGGCAAACATCGTAAGGAAATCTGTATGTCTGAAAAATAAGAAAAAATATTTCGAAGACATGTGAAGTTCGACAACACGCATTATGAGAGGGGTGGACACTTCCTTGCCATAAAACCCTTTCAGAAATGAAGGGAGGTCTGTGCCCAGCAGTGGGACGACAGATAGGCTGTAAATTTAACTTTTTTTTAAAGTTCACTGCTGTACGTTCGCTTTTTTTACGCACCTTATAAGCCAGTGCTTCACCACAATCACACCTGGTGGCAAATGGTGATGTAGCCGTAGATGTTAAATCGCAAGACAAGAGTGAATAGGTTTTTGCTACGCTAACACAGTGCAATTTACGCCTTCTCTATAGATTTACTCTTTGGTGAGATATTTGCCACAGTTGCCGGCAAGCGGGTTGGCACTACACGGCAAGATACTATGAGTCGGCTTGAGCTACTCGATTGTAATAAAATTAATATCCACTTTAAAGAAACACATCGTCACTACGTATTTAGGATTTATTTGTACTACAAGTAATAGCCGGAAGCGTAGTAGCTAGAATTACACTTTTTTAATACGATTCAACAGCGCCCATTACTTCGATATCGTCTTCGAATTTCTTGCCTCGGAGGCATTCCTTGACCCGAGGAAAGAAGTAGAAGTCACTAGGAGCTAGATCTGGCGAATAGGGGTGTTCGAGCAGTTCGAATCCCGTTTCTTGAATGGCAGCCATCGCAACTGCGCTTTGTGAGCCGGTGCGTTGTCTTGGTGAAACAGCACTCCAGCTCGCAGTTTGCGTCTTTTTTCCTTAATGGCCTCCCGCAATCTTCTTATTTGGTCTGCGTAGTAAGAGCCCGTAATAGTGGCTCCCTTTTACAAATATTCCACCATAATTATGCCTTGAGCATCCCAAAAAATAGATGCCATAACCTTTCCCGCCGAACTTGAAACTTTGAATTTCTTTGGCGTCGGTGAGGAGGCTCGCTTCCAAGTCATCGTTTGTTGTTTCGTTTCAGGATCAAAATGGTGGATCCAGGTCTCATCCATAGTCACAAAACGGAACAAAAAATTTTCTTGATCTGCTTGGAACTTTTCGAGATTGACCCTCGAAATGTCAACTCGATTTTTCTTTTGCTCGTCGATTAACATTCTGGGTACCCAAAGCGCAGAGACCTTTTTCATATGCAACTCGTTCGCAAGGATTCTTTAAACGCTGCCATATGAGATCCCTGTGACCTCAGCTACATGCCTGATGGTCACTCTTCGATCTGCCAACACAACATCTTTGACTTTTTTCACGTTGTCTTCAGTGAGGGACGTGGATGAGCGTCCTTCGCGATGTTTATCTTCAGTGGATGTTCTGCCCAGTTTAAACTCCTTGGCCCAGTCTACAACTGTAGAATATGGAGGAGCAGAGTCCCCCAATGTTTCCACTAAGTCACTGTGTATGTCTTTTGAAGACATTTTTTTCAAAACAGAGTGCTGTGTACTTGATGACAGCTCTAATTTCGTTTTTCTCCATGTTGATGTTATCTCTTTGACAGTTCGTATTCAAATGAATGTGTCTCCCGGAAATCGAGATCTATTTATATGATTTTTTTAGGTTGTTGTAGTGAGTATGTAAGCAAGCACAATTTTTTTGGATTTTTATGCGGACCTGAAGTAACCGATTATCATTACTTTTGGATCACCCCTCGTAATTCTCTGATAAATTTCAAATTTTTGAAATACGTATTTCAATATTTTGATATTTTCTTATTATGTAGATGTATTTTCTATTAAGAAGAGAAAAACGTGGTATGACGAGACGTGGCAAGATGATGTTGTGACCAGGATTTAGAAAGGAATGCTTCGGTGGTTTAGTTATGTAGAAAGAATGAATGAGGAAAGAGTGACAAAGAAAATTTATACGGCAGATTTGAACGGTAGAGTCGGGAAGGGACGCCCTAGACGAAAGTGTATCTACCAAATTGGCGATATTTTAAAAATGGGCCATATTAGAAGTACCCTCAACCGACGAGCGTGTATGCGTCGATGTATGGATATGAAGGAGGCGAGGGAGGTATGTGGGGATCGTGCCAAGTGGAAGTCCGTAGTCTCTGCTAACCCCTCTGGGTGGCGGACGTGTTTATGTTATGTTATGTTTATTTACTATCATAAGTACTTTGTTTACACATAGTAGAGCCACGCTGCAGCTATGTTAGTTGTAGCACGAATGGGTTAGTTCAGCTGGGGTAGGGCCACGCGCTCACAGAATACCAGCGTAAAATAGCAGCTTAATGCTGCTGTCTTCGTATGGTGAGTGTAGAGAACCGGAGACCCTATTTACTGGAAACGAGGCATTCCATTTTAGTGTTCAAGTGTGACACCGCATCTGCATATTGATTATTAATCGAGGATAAACGTAGATGTCTATGGGCCGCAGCATCTACTTACCATCATGTGTGCTCGTTTGTCACCCTTATTCTATTAAAAAAAATTCTTTATTTCAGCAACCGCTTCAGCTGGATCAATTCAGGATAGTGGTTGGCGAGCACAGACTCAAAGTGCAGGATAAGCACGAGCATCGTTTTCTTGTGGAGAAGGTGATCCTACACCCGGACTTCAGAAAGAGTAAGTTAAAAAAGGTTAAACATTAACCGATTTGAAATTGGTGAACCGTTGTACCCGGTTTTATCCTTTTTGATATAGGAATTTTTGTAGTGTTGTTCTTAAGTATTTTTATAGGATAAGAGCGACAAACGGGCACACAGTCCACCTGATGGTAAGTGGTTGCGGTGGTCCATAGATATCCACATCCATCCTCAATTATGAATCAAAATTCAGATGCGTTACCCATGAGTACTAAGATAGAGTGCCTCGTTTCCAGTAAAAAGGATCTCCAGTTCTCTACACTCAATACGAAACACTGCAACGTTATACTGCTATTTTACGCTGATATTCTCTGAGAGATGATTATTTCCCGGTAGCGCTGACCCATTCGTTCCACAACTATACCAGTAATATAACTGCAGAAAGAATCTATCACGTTCAATAAGATCCTAAAGTTATAATAAAACAGTAAATAATGATATAAAATATACGTTCATTTTTAAGTAAAATTTATACTACTGTCTACTGTCGTCTCACTGGACTCAAAAAGAAGACATCGAATGGATTGCCTGAAACGAAAAACCTTGTGCCGAACGGGTGTGTGCAAGCCGTATGTGTATGTGTGGGTGTACTGTGTTTGTGTAAGTGTGAACCACATAATTTAATTTCTTCTGTTCCTTTCTACTAACTGACAACCAGACGTTTGGCCAGTCTTTTACCCCTAAGTCGATAACTATGTCCGCTTGCTAGGACGCTTACTCCTTTTCTTCCTCGCAGTCCATCTGGGTGGGTACCACTCTTGAGACTATTTCTGCTGCAAGCAGTAGTGCGTCTGAAATGTGCAGACTGCTGGTGTTATATCATGCTGCGTGACATTGCGTCTTAGTCCTCAGAGGAGACAAAATATATGCAGGCTTCTTTGTTTGAAGTTGATTGCAGTAGTAGGTACCATCAGGTATCATCGATTTTATATAAAAAGTTTGAGGTTTTTTTAACTTACTAAATTTACTTTTTACTACTACTATTTATTTATAAAAACTCCTATCAAAATATGCTAAGCAAATTGCTTTGATGTGATAGAATAAAGTGTTCTAGCATATGTTAAACGCTGATAAAAATATTTGTGTGCTTACGTATGTACATTATTATATACTTTAAATGGGATGTTGATGATGACAATATAGGTCCCTATTGCCCAAAAACGCGTATCAATAGCATCGACATCTTCCTCATTAAAGTCCTTCACAAACCTACTGCTGAATACAGGCCTACGAATGCCACAAAGCACGATCCTGAGTCACCTGCATCCAGCATGTCTTACCAGGTTGTCACTCGTATCTGGAAGGCATCATACTAGGGGGATGTTCTAGATTTCGTCTACCAGTACGAGACTGCCACTCGAAAACCTCGCTTCAATATACAACATAATAAACCCAGTGACCGTGACGCTTAACGTTTTCATATGGCACATGGTGCTTTCAGATGGTCCACACAGCAACGATATAGCCATGATCTTGGTAGCCCGATCCGGCAACGGCGTGCAGTTCAACTCTCACGTCCGCCCTATCTGCTTACCTGGTGCCAGTGCGGAGCCGGGCCGGTGGTGCTCTGTCAGCGGCTGGGGGCTTCAGGCAGGTACGGATGTTTTATTTTTTATCCTAGTAAGTGTGAGAATAAGCAGAAGAAGAATAAGAAGAAGCAGTGTAAGAATATGGGTACGGTACCCCATATCGTTCCGTGAGTGTCTTAAGAGGTGAAAAAGGGAAACGGAAACAGGAGATGGGCAGCAGCATCTTCTTAAAAGTTAAAGTTACAGTTGTTTCTACCCACTGCTGGGCACAGGCCTACGATTCAGGGCAAGGAATTGTCCGCCGCGCTGCCTCAATGCGTGTTGGCGAAATTCGTATGTCTTCGAAATAGTTTAATTTCTTATTTCTCAGACATGCAGGTTTCCTCACGTTGTTTTCTTTTATCGCAGAGCACGTGGCAAATCTGCACCTAAAATTTCACCCGGTGATTTAACTAATTGAACCCGGTTTGCTCACGTACTGTGAAATTTACAGCGGGCGCTAACCATCTGAGCTACCACGGCTCTTTTTAAAAACAAAAAAAACTGCGTTTGCCGACTCTCCTGCCAAGCGTGGCATCTATAGCAAAATCCAACCTGTGAGGTCTATGGGAGAGGGCTTTGCTCAACATTTGTCTCTTATGACTGTGGTAGATCTACGTCTATCAGATAAATGTGATGGATCCCAATAATAATGTATAACTATCTCTTTTCCGCAAAAAAAAACACCCAAACTGGCGATTGGATGCAGCGTTAAAGGTACACTCACCAAGTCAGCTAAAAGTGATGATAATGCAACAACTACAACGATGCACAGGTCCAGCAGTTGACTTTAAAGGGCTGGTGGAGAATATTATATTAAACGACGTGGTGAAGAATAACGTTGCATTTATTCTTTGTGCGCAATGCTTTAAAACTTTGAATTATTTTCTTTCTTTTTTTTATAGGGAAATACTACAATGCTAAACTTAATATTTTACTAAGCTTTAATAATATTATCAATATCCCCATTACTAATGGTAATCTTAAAATTCGTAGTAGTCGAACGGCGTATTTGAAACAACGACTTTTGAGCTCGTGGTCCGCAATCTAATGTCTATTGTCGTTTTAATTATAGGACTCAAAAGTGTGGTGTAATTTTTTCATTTCTGACAGTTTAAAAGGAAAGATATTAAGTTATTACATACCAGTACTTACATAAATAGATTTACAGTCATAACCAAGTTAAATATATCCTACTGTTTAGGACAGCCCTGTTATCTTTTGAAGGTGTACTTTTTTTAGTAGACCGAAATTCCTTGATAATATTCTTTTTTTAAATTATAATTGTCTACAGTTACATCATAAAGAAAATGCTTCATGGTAGTTCCTCATAACATCTTAGTACCTCTGCGTACTAAGATGTTATGAGGAACTCCTAACCGACAGGTAAAACAAATAGTAATTAACAAATATACTTTTTAGAACCTATATATAAAGTTTATTACATATATAAGTATACATAATATGACATTATCTCAGCCACGGATGAAATTTGTTGATAATGTAGGTAATTATTTGCACACGAAATTTGCCTCCACAAATTGCTTAAATATATGCCATACTGAGTATGCAAAAATGTAATGCGCTAAGTATCCCCGCACATTGTTCAGATCTACTTGACACATTTTCCTCGCCATATGTTTATTTTACATCTTTAGTTAGTATTATTGGTGTTTTACAGAGAGTACAGAAACGTTTGCTCCGACTTTAAGAGCAGCCGAAGTACCGCTTATGGATTTGGAAACTTGTAGGAAGAACCAAGTGCTTGGTGGACGGCAGCAACCGATTTTGGACTCTATGATATGTGCAGGTGAATATTTTTATAGAATAGGAGTGACAAAGACACACACAGTCTACCCGATGGCAAGTGGGTGTTATGGCCCGTAGACATCTTGAGAACTAAAGTGCCGATATGTCATCACTACTGAGGACCGATATGAAATGCTTCGTTTCCAGTAAAAAGGGTCTCCGGTTCTCTGCCCTCACCATACGAAACGCAGCAGAATTAAGTTGCTATTTCACGCTGGTATTCTGTAAGAGCGTGGTCGAGTCGACCCATTCGTGCTGCAACTATAATATAGCTAGGTGGCTCTATCACGCCTACAAAGAGTGAAGTAATTTTGAGACATTATGTATGGCCGATTATCACCCTTACTTGTATAAAAATGCTGGTTCATTCATTTTCAAAGAAAGAAAAAAAAAAGAAGTTCTATACCTATATCTGGCAGTAACTAAAGAAAAAAAGAATAAAGAAAATTGAACATGCATGAAAAATGCGGAGTGGGGGTGAGACGTCACATCAACATACATATCTGTTGTTTGTTTTAGGGATTCTGTCAGGAGGAGTAGATGCATGTCGTGGAGACTCCGGTGGGCCACTCGCGTGCCAGGCGGATGGGCGCTGGCAGTTACACGGCGTGGTTTCTTGGGGATCAGGGTGCGCGAGGCGAGCACGTCCCGGAGTCTACACCCGCGTGGCTTCCTACACCAACTGGATCAGACAAACAGCTGCTGGATTAGGGCACAAAATTGTCATGTATGTTTAACGTAGATAGGTCTTATTATACAAGATAGTTATTTTTTATTTATTTTGACATTGTTTACAAGGCTTACAGCCAAATATATAAGTAATGATATGTGTGTGTAACAATGTAATAACGTTCACAATATGTGCCGCATTGTGCAGTTTTCGGGCAATTTTTGACAACAGTTGTGCTGTTGAGTGAATAGATTATAACATTATCCCAATGCCTAAAATATGCAAATATAACTTGAGATTCTCAATTACAATTAAGGCCGTTCTGTCGCCTTCATTTATTGTTGATATTACGCTAATACACTTACCGTTTAGTAGCGGTGTAAGAATGTCCACTATCCCATATAATTCCAGGAATGTTGTAAGAGGCGACAGAGGGAAAGAAACCAGGAGATGGGCAGCAGCGTATTATTAATAAAGACTAAAAATAAAAAACTGCGGTTGCCAACCCACTTGCCAAGCTTGGCAACTATGGTAAATATCTGCCTTATTAGGAAATCTATAGGGGAGGCTAATTCAGCAGTGCATTTCAAGTGACAATTGACCTGACAGTCCATCAGATTGTAAATGGTTACTACAGCACATCAGTCATGGGTACCTGTAACTTACTTCAAACAAAGAAGGCTTCTTAACTACGTTGTCATCTATGAGGTCTAATATGGAGTACCTGTACTTCACAGGCTTCAATTATACGGGGATATTTCGTAATAACCGGCCAAATTTGCAGAGAAGGTTCAGAATAAGTAATATAGGCAAATGGCTTTCTTCATAGAAGAGGGGGCAAACCTGATGGTAAGTGACTACCACCGCCCATGAACAACCGCAACACCAGGGGTATTGCAGGTGCGTTGCCGGCCTTTTAGAAAGGAGTAAGCTCTCTTCTTGAAGGTGCCTAAGTCGCATCGGTCCGGAATAATTGCCGGTGTTAAGCAATTCCACAGAGAAGTTAAACGAGGAAGAAAACTCCTTGTAAAACGCACAGTAGTGGACTACCAAGCAGATGGTAAGGATGGTATCGTGAAGTTTAACGCAATGTGCGTTCGTGAAATTTGGTGGCTGGAATTAATACAAACAATTCCTCGGAACACTGCCCGTGGTAGATGCGATAGAAAATGAAAAGAGATGCAATATGCCTACGCAGCGCTGGTGAATCGAACCAATCAGAAAGAACTCGGTCGTTGACATGAAAAACTGTCTCACTGTCACTATTGAGATATGTCGCTGAGGATCCGATGCTAGCTGAGGCAACAAGGGGAGTGCCTTGAAACTAAAAGTGTGCGGTCACGCAAAAAGTTGTGTCTTCTGGGGATTGAACTGAAATCCCCAATCCGAGTCTTTGTTCAGCAAAGACTCGAATTTTGTCTTTGTATAGTATTGTTTGTTTTGGTTTTGTCCCGGTATTCAGCGACGTTTTCCCGACAATTATTAGCATGACTGGTGTATAAGGCATCACCAGTGCTGGCGTCTGCATAGCAATGAATGTTATCAGTTTGCAACATATCATTGATATGCAGAAGAAACAGCGTTGAAGCACAGCATGTACCGTCTAATACGACCTTGATGCTCCGCTCAGCAAGAAAACTGGTAATCAATTGCACAATTTTTCTGAAAGCTCATGGGAAGGGACCTTCTAAAGAAGCACCTTGTGCTAGACCCGATCAAACGCCTTCGCTATGTCCAAACTAACGGCCAATGCCTCCCCCTTGAACTCTACTCTCTCCACCCATCTATGAGTCAGGTATACCAGAAGATCACAAGCTGATCGACCACGACGAAAACCGTATTGGCTATCACTAATCAGCTAGTGATCACCAAGGTACCTCATGAGCTGGCAGTTTATAATAGATTCCATTTTAAAAAACAAGGAGGTGAGGTCGTTAGGCCTGTAAGTGAATGAGTCAGAGCGATCGCCCGTTTAAGGGATCGGGTGGACCAAAACTATCTTCCATGAGTTCGAGACTACGCCTCGAGAGTAAGATTACCGGAAAAGACGCGTTAAAACCGGTGCCAACTCTGGAGCATACGTCTTCTGCACAATGGGAGGGACTCCATCAGGCCTACTCGACTTGCTGACGTCCTGGGAGAGGAGTGCTTTTCGAACTGAGCGTTATGTAAACCGCACGTCCCGTATGGAGCACATATGCCGCGGGATGATCGGCTCCACTCGGCATCGAGATTATTGTTGGACACAAAAGAGAGCCTTTGACTTTCTCCTTTGCGGCATGGGCCAGTGAGCCGTTCTCTCTGTGCAGCGATGGAAGAGACGGCTGGCAGAGTTTACTTTGAACAGCCTTGGCGAGAGACCGGAATGCATGGGTTCTCGAAGGAAGGCGAACTAGCTTTTTGCTAATTCTACCGATGTGCTCAGACTATGACTTGGCAAAAAAACTTTATTACTCTTCTGTATGACCTGGAGGCGGCATTGTACCTTTTTTAAAAGCGCTGTTGTTTACATCCCGAGAGGTTGATGCGTCAGCCTAGGCCCGGTATCACTCCTGCTTATAGCGTAATGCTATTTAACAAGAGCGACCAAAACATGGGTGGGATCGGCCTCCGATGGGCACCACACAGGATGGAATAAAAAGTTCCATATCCTGAAGTACCACATCAGCAACAGAATCAGCAAAAATCGTCCGGCTAAAAGCAAACCCGCCCCCAAGGGGATGCAAAAAAAGACCGTATCGTATACCAATCGGCTGATCTATAGTGCACAACACGCTACAGAATGCAACCGCGACGTTAGTGTGAGTGGCACCATCATCTAGATAAGACAACGGTCGACGAGCCTAGAGGGGCGTCGACGAAAATCTGATATCCGATAAGAGCTCATTAGAAGGTCCAACAGGGAAGGTGCATTATCTCCCACATCTGGAATCCGCGTAGGAGAAGTGATCAGTTATATAGTTGACCATATGTCAAGGCAAAGTCATAAATAGATCACCCGCATGATCGGTTAAACATGAACCAAGCCATTCGGCATGTTGGGCGTTAAAATCGCCAATAATCACGATCTCTACAGATGGAATCTGCTGTAGCAAGGAATCTGTAGCCATATGGACGTGGTCGATGAGTCGGTCTGTTTCGGCATTACTGCTATTGGGACCTATAGAGACACCCGTAGACGCGGAGATGGTCGTCGCTGTCTACGCGCAGCCATAGGATGGACAGGTCCGCACCTACATGACCGCCGAGGCGTCGTAAACAGATATCTTCTCTTACATATACGTAAACACCAGCCCGAGGCCCAAAGGAGTGGTCTAATTTGTATCCCGGGTAGGAGAGATATGGAGTATCAGCCGGAGAAGACCCTCGTGTCTCGATTAAAAAGAGCAAGGCCGGCTTCGCCGTCTACAGATGGTCGTGGAGTAAAGTTGGAATGAAGTCCCCTGTCTTTTAGATTGAAACGCGTGGTAATGCATTATTGAAACAGATTTTACTGCGCACGTACATATTCGTAAGGGTGAATCGGTAGGCAAAAACGTTGTTGCCCATAAATCACATTCAATTTGGGATAATTTCAAATAAAAGTAGAATCCTTATTTATTCGTATTTTCAAAAGCTGCAATAAGCGTATATTATTGTTTATATATTTGAACTTAAGTTTAAAATTTGGATTTTCTTTAAAAAAATAACCTACAGACTATCTATGCCCTCCAAACTGAAACGGAGCATTGCTGGCACTGATGTTTAATGACAGAAGTAAGTAGGAGGGTGGTAGGTACCTATCCAGATAGCCTCCAAGGCATAAATGATTCCTACAATTTTGTTATTAAAATCCACTTAATTTAGAAACACTATACTTCATAGTGAAATCATAATGTAATAAATTGGGCTTATTGATTAATTCGAATTCTATTTAAATATACATTTTTTGACTTTGTAATGGTGATTATTAGGATACAAATAATTATGTGGATGCTCAACGACTGATTGTCTGACATAATAGCATACATATGTATATTGTAAACAATTTTTTATTTGTTTTTTTGCCGACTTGACAAAGTTTGTAATAAAAATATCTTTTTTAAACAATCTCTTCTATCAAATTTACAAAAGACTTAACAAGATTTTCATTTGAACAAGAATAGTATTTACTTTATCTGGTGCTGGCTCTACAGGGATTATCCAGCCCTCTAATTAAACGTTGAGAGGCAACGCATGGAGCGTATTTGCGTTCACTGAATGAAATCAATTCTTCAATATGTTAGAACTGTCTCTTTATCATCGTTTGGGTTTTTCAAATCAGAGGTGTCTATACAAAGGTAAGCTTTGTGGTTCGAATTGTGTAAGCGCATTTGATGTTGGGTGGTTTGACGACCGTTTAGTGACAACATCATTTGAACTATACTTACACTTAGGATCTACATATTTTGTAACGTCCCAAAGCGGCTAATATAGAGAAAAAATAAGCCATAATTCCAGTAATGGACATCGTTATACTTTGTGTAGAAAACGTATTACTAGTTAACACTTTGTTACTTTTATTCACAACCAGTATTTTAAATTATAGTTTTTAACGCCAAAGATTTATTGTAAAGCAAGTTACCATCAGTTACCATTTAATTGTCATTTTTAAATATAAGAACTTGTTAATTTAAGTCATGTTAAAAGAATATTTATTTAAGATTAATAGCAATAAGGTCTAAAACGTGTCCTTGTAATAATAAATACCTTGTGAAATTTTACCATGTGTTACGGCCTTTGAGTATAAAACACTCAAAGATTAGGGCTTATTTTGAAATCATCAAATAAAATTTATCCGCCGAATAAGTTATAACCTGATTAAATATAAATGTGAAACAATTGAACCATTTCGTTCAAACAACGATAATTTATGATTGATGATTTTTAGATTTGCTTAAGTTATATTTTAACCCATAAATAATTTAAATCTGACGATTAAAAACCAGTCCTTACTTTTTTATTTAAAATAGATGAATTATACATAATAAGTTTTGTAAGTTAATTTAAGTATAATTTACCAATGGTTCGAGCGGTACATTATAAATT